TTTTATTATAGTTTTATGAATAATAGTGTACTGTTGAAAAATATTTTGATAATCTATTTATTGTTTGTTTTAAGAAAAATATATATATTTTTTATAAATGAACCTTTTTTTGCTCTAAATAATGTACTTAATTTTTCATTAACATATTAGTAACGTTTTGGTTTATTTTATGACCAAAAAAAAAAACGTTTTGGTTTATTTAATAAATTTTTGTTGTTGTTTTCCTTTTATGAAATATACTACTAGTAATCTATTTTATTATAGTTTTATGAATAATAGTGCACATTCTAATTATGTTGAAAAATATTTTGATAATCTATTTATTGTTTGTTTTATGAAAAACTTTTTTTTAAAATGAACCTATTTTTTTTTTCTCTAAATTATGTACCCTTTTTTCTCTGAATAAAGTACCTATTATTTTTTTTATGAAAAACAATTTTTTTAAATGAACCTATTTTCTCTCTCCAAATAATGTACCTATTTTTTCCTCTAATAATGTACCTAGTAAAACAATGTACGTATTTTTTTAAATGAACCTATTTTTCCTCTCCAAATAATGTACCTATACACATTTATAAGTATATTGTAAAATAATGTACTTATATTTTCTATAAATTATTGTGTACCTATTTTTAATTTATGAAAAATGTACGGAAAATTCAATTACAAAGTAAATGACTTAATTTAAAAAAATAAATTGGTAAATAATATACCTATATTTTATTTAAATAATATATTTATATTTTTATATGTATATATTTATATTTATATTTTTCATAGGTACATTATTGGATATGTAATTTACTGATTTTTTTTTTGAGTTTGCAATTTTAAGGGGCGATATGTGAGAGGGAACAACCAAAAGAAATGGGTTGATTGATATGCTATTAATAGGGAGTATTAATTACAATTATGGCAGTTAATGAAATGCTTGAAATAAATTATAAATAAAATATAAAGTATAATGGCAAACGATGTAAAAATATAGGAATATTATGACCTCTTATATCCTAGTAGTCATTTAAATTTGAAATTGGATTTTATACATAGATTTATAGAGTTATGGGTATATGTCTAAGAAATAGAAAATGTAGGGATCTATATTGGTGAAGCCCCAAAAACAAAGATATGTATGTCAAAACCATTTTTCGTAGTTATAAAAAGAATTATGGCACGTAGGGGACACTCTTTAGGAGGGTCCGTACGATTCACCACTGAAATTGACAACCAATTAATTATAAGACCACTGAAATTGAGATGTCAGGAATCAAGATCGATCTGGTATTTTTTGGGCAAAGAGCAGTTCATAAAAAACAGCCAAAACAGGCCAAGCAACTAACATCGATCATAAATGCATATCCTATCCACCTTATCGGCGCCATTGATACAAAGATTTTTTCAGTTTGGTTCGATTATAAATGCATGCATATGCATGTGTCTGCTTTCTGCTCCACAGCATTTGCCAGCTTCTTGAATTAGGTCAGATGTAGCCGTAGATACAACTGGATCATATATTGCTGGAGAGAGACATGACACAATTTTGGGTCATTAATAAATAATGTCTATATATTTTACTAAGAATATAATAAGTAAAATTAAATAAAATGTTTCTTCATAAAAATTTAAGTATTTGTTTATTGGAGAGAATAGGTATATTTAAAAATTTTAAATAATGTTTTTGGAGGCTCCGGCCTTTCTTAGTACCATGTTAGCTGCTGATGTTTGAGGTGTTGCTAGACCTCGTCTAGTTTCAATTTAGTTTCTTTTGGTTTTGGGGTTTTAGCCCTCCCTTGTACCAAAATAAAAAATAAAAATAAATAAATAAAAGGTAAAAGCCTTGTCTAATGATTTAAACAAATTTGAGTCTCCTCACTCATCGTCAATTAGTTTTGGATCGAATATTACATTCTAATATGGTATCAAATTATTCACATATTGGGTCTAATAATCACACATGCTCCCATGTCCCCGACATATCTTGTCTAGGCATTTGAGTGTGAATTTCACATTAAATAATGAAAACATTACCTAATAATTCAAATGTCTCGAGTCTATTCACCTAATCTCAATTGATTGTGTATTGAATACTCGCATTTTAATTATATAAAAAAATCTTATCCTATCAACCAATTTTGCACTAGGGGGGGTTTAGTAGATGCACATTTTAGATAAATTCTGTAATAAATTGTAGCATCATCAATCACATATAAAATCGAATTCTTAACTAAAAAGTGGGAGAGTTTTTTTGTTGTTGTTGTTATGGTAGGGCATCAATTATCCTTTGTTCTTCAATTAAAAAACCTCCTTTGTAGTTAAAATACAAATAGAAATAGAATAAGATTTTGTTTATTATAGACAGAGATGAAAAGAGGGCAGAGGGTGGTGGGGTTGGGAGGAAAAGAAGATCTAATATCACCACTCTGTGTGGTATTGGTCAGCCGACATATGCTTATTGCTTGCAAAACGCAAAGTGGGTTGGTGAAAACGCTTCAATACCAAACACAAAACGCATTTTAAAAAAATAATTAAAAAAATGTCTTGCCTAAATGGATAATGAAGTTTTTTCATGCTAGTCTTGCCCCAAACTCCTAATAAGATCCTTCTTCTACACTTTTGTTAGGTGCCTCTTTTCCACTGTTCACACCTACATGATCCTCTCTCTCTCTCTCTCTCTCTCTCTCTCTCATGTCAAAGTAAACGAGGAAAAGTCTTACCAGATATCCAATAAAAAACATTACATTCATTGGATGTTTCATTTCCCAATTAAGGAAACAACTCGGAATATCACCACAAATTCACCAACTATTTCTGTATGTTTTTATTTTTATTTTTATGTAAATTAGTCCATCTCCAAATGTTCTATTATTGTTTGGTTATGTCAATTGGATTGCCACAATTAGCTAATCACCGGTCTAATTTCAGTTAATTACAACACATTAAATTAAATATGCGGGCACAAATTATTTGAGTTATGAATTTTGCTAAGCGCAGTCACCCACGCACGATGTTCGCCTAAAAGCGGGTACATATAAATTTAAAGTCTTTTTCAATCTTTTGGTAGGACTCAAGTTTGAGAAATTGGTTAGAAAAAATCATCATATATATATATGTGGAGTAAATACCTCATAAAATGTAACAAAACATGATCAATTTCTCCTTTGGTTTCTTCACCTACCCCCCCGCCCCCCCCCCCCCCCCCCCC